TGCGCCGCTACGTCGCCCGCCACCCGCGGGCGCGCGGGGCCGGGTCCCGGCTGGCTGGGGGCTTCTTACCTCTTCTTCCCGCCGGAGGCTACTGGCAGGGATCTAGCAGAGTGGGGTCAGAGGTGGCTGGGACGATGGTGCCCGCTCGCAGTCGCCCTCGGTCTTTGCCACATTTTCTGGGCGAACCGATTGTCAGATGCGGACGCTCAGGTCCAGAAAACGGAACTGCTTCTCTGGGTCTCAAGCTCAGGCTCCGGGCCCTTGATAGTAATCCGAGAGTTGGGCGAAACCGCTGCGGGTTCCCATGCTGGGCACCTCGCGCGCAGGCCTGCAGTGCCATTTTGTACTAACGAGCTTTAGATCCTGCAAATTCAAGGGAGAGACTTCTCACAGAGACAGAGTCCCTGAGGTGTACTCTGTTGACTCATTACAAAGTTGCCAGAATCGGAGAAAGTGCCAAATAGGAACAAGATGAGAGACAGGGTTAAAGATGCAAGGTAGATGTTTGTTACATATTATCTGATCTGTATACAATTTGACCAAAAAGCAGTCTACAGTTTGTGTCTCCCTGCCTTCTGCTAAATTTCCCCTCCTTCCAGAGTTGCAGATTAAAATTAAAAGCTCATTATGCTTTTTCTGGCAAACAGACTTCTTTGTTAACATGTTATAGAGAGGAAATACTATAGAAAGAAAAAGCTGGGGTTATCAAATGAGGTTCTGACCCACTACCTAATGCTTTTAATGCCTTTACTTGGTTTGTGTCCCAACCAGGCACTGGACCATCAGTGGCCATCCCCTGCAGCCTTGGGCCTTTCCTCAGGTCACAGACTTCAGAATGAAGCCATTTACCTAGAGCACCGTGCAAGCTGCCTGAGACCAGTGAAAGCCCAGTCTCCTGGGCTGGCTTTAAGGCTTTGGCTCTGTCTAATAAAAAGGATAGCCCTAGGTCATTTCTCTGGCACCTTGGGGCTCTCAGACTTTCAATGATTCTAGTGAAAGTTCCAAGATCAGCTTTGTTAAGCAACAGCAGTAGACCAGACCTGCAGCTGTTTGCATTTGTAGGCAGTTGTTCCTGAGAGTCCCTAGATCTGAAAAAAAGTAGAATCTCTGATGCCCCCCAAGTAATCCCCTATTCTTCTGTCAGTCCAGACCCTATTTTGCCCTCCTTTTTATTCTGTATGCAAGAAGTCTCATCTTTCTAAACCAAGCTAAACCTCTTTCTCTGCTTACCTGAGTGTAGGCTCCTATTCTGATGCCGCTACTACTGACCTAAAAACCTTTCGTTGCTTAATCTGATTGTTTTTCTACCTGCCTAGATGTCTGGGCTTTCTTTTATTTCTTCAACCCTTGAGTCTGGAGGTTTCTAAAAGGCATTTTGATTACTCATTAACAAGGACAGGTTCTCCTTGACTTATGGTGGGGCCACATCCCAATAAACCCATGGCAAACTGAAAATACAGGCCAGCCGCGGTGGCTCACTCTAGGAATCCTAGCACTCTGGGAGTCTAGGGTGGGAGGATCACTTAAGCTCAAGAGGTCAAGACTACCCAGAGCAAAAAGCAAGACCCCTTCTGACTAAAAATAGAAAAGTTAGCCAGGTGTGGTTGTACACACCTGTAGTCTCAGGTATTCAGGAGTCTGAGGCAGTAGGATTGCTTAAGCACAAGAGTTTGAGGTTGCTGTGAGACAGGCCAACACCATGGCACTCTAGCCTAAGTGACAGAGTGAGACTCTGTCTCAAAAAAAAAAAAAAGAAAGAAAGAAAGAAAGAAAGAAAATACATTTAATACATCTAACTTAATGAGCATCATAGCTTACTCTAGCCTACCTTAAAACAAACTCAGAACACTTAGATTAGCCTACAGTTGGGCAAAATCATCTAACATGAGGCCTATTTTATAGTAATGTTATTGGATTTTGAATCAAAATTCAAAGTATGGTTTCTACAGAATGTGCATCACTTTCACACTGTCATAAAATTGAAAAGTCACAAATCTAACCAGAAACCATCTGTAATTGTTATTATCATTTAATTAGATATACCTAACAGTGTCTTTTCCACACGGCCTGTACAAAGACCTCCCCATATGAAAGCTAATGTTTTATTCATTCAGCAAATGTCAGCCACCTACCATGTGGCTAGAAACAAGGAACACAAATAAACCAGTCACAACTTCAATATTTCAGAGGCTCAAGTAACTAGATGCAACAGACATGAACAGCTGATGGTGGTACAGTGGTAGGGATATCTACAGAGGGCTAGGACATAAGTTACAGAACAAGTCCACCTAAGAAGAGAGAAATGGAACATCTCAAAAGAGTTACAGAAGATCTTGATGTAGGGCTTAAATTTAGGCAGTGTAATGTTCAAGTTTCCTGGGGAAAGACATAGGAGAGGGGAAAGCTGACACAAAGGCATGAAATTGAATGCATTTTCTAGCACAGTCTTCAATGTAATGTACAGCCATGTATAGGCTTGTATCTTCTCTCCATTAAAAGTTGACAAAAATAACAAAAGGCATCTGCCCACTTAGACATCATCAGCCCCTATTTTCTACATCTGTGGACTAGCTCGCATATTGAAGTTAAAGTATACCTTGATATCCTCTCAACATGTATCAGATTTGTCAAAAAGACTATCTTCTAAAGCTATCTGAAACACATAGATACAAAATGGCAAACAATTCTTTTCAAAGAGCAGTGTTGACCCTCCTTTCAATGTAGGATTTGGCAGCTGCTGTTATTTCCCCCAAATGTATCACTTCTCAGTGTCAGTGTTATTGGGGATTTGAGACATTTTCCAATTTATGAAAAAAAAATCTTTCTTAGAATCTAACTGCTGTAATTCTTAACCTCTCTGAGAAGCTGATGGAAACTCTGGACCTTTCTCTTAGAAAAATTCATATGCACAAATACATATCAAATGTTGCATCCAATTTCAGTGGGTTTATGATTTCCTGAAACCAATTTCTGAATCCTGTGAGGGACTATAGTCCCTGAGCTAAGAATTTAAAGGAAATTATCAAGCAAATGACATTGGGAATATGCCATACATATGTGTGTGGGAGCAAGGAGGACAGAAGTAGGCCCTTTTAAAGGTAGTGAGATATGCTGAGGAGGGCAGCCGTGACCCAGAAGGACCCACACTCACATCACCAGCTGGTACTAGAGTAAGTTAATGAAATTCACCAAGCCTCACTTCGCTCATCTGTAAAAATGGAGATAATACCTCTCACTGAAAGTTATTGGTGAGGCATAATCTAAATCACAGAGATACATTTAGCAGTCTAATACAGTAGGCTCTCAATAAAGAGTAGTGTTTATTAGTACATGTATTATAAAATCTGTGTGGTAGTCTTTGCTCCAACACCTTCTAGTGCTGCTATCCTGGAATGGGATACTGTGCAGAGGATCTCTGGTGGGAGTGAACAGCTAGAGTGAATGACTCTTGAGAGCACCTTTCTATACCTGACCAGTCGCTGGGTCAGATTAGCCTGTAAGGTCCTTTCTACACCTAGGATCTAGGCTTCTTTTGCTTTTCACCTGAAAATTAAGTTGTTAAAACAATTAAATAGGCTTGGTGCCTGTAGCAGCCACATACACTGGAGCTGGCAGGTTTGAATTTGGCCCAGGCCCTCCAAACAGTAACAACCATGACCAAAAAATAGCCAGGCATTGTGGCGGCCTCCTGTAGTCCCAGATACTTGGGAGGCTAAAGCAAGAGGATTGCTTAAGCCCAAGAGTTTGAGGTTGCTGTGAACAGTGGCACCATGATACTTTACCCAGGGCGATAGCTTGAGACTTGGTCTTAAAACAAAAAAAAAAAATGAAGAAGGAAAGAAAAGAAAAGAAAAAAACAATTGAATGTATAAAATTGGAATTAATTAATGCATCTATTTATTATTTTATGTCCAGAAGTTTTTGGGTTCTTTTTCTAAATTACAACCTAAATGAAATATTACAAACATACAAGTCTTGATATACGAGTATTCTGAACGTTAGTAAGGTTTATTACTTGGCTTTTCTTTTTTCTTTTTTTTTGCAGTTTTTGGCCAGGGCTGGGTTTGAACCCACCACCTCCAGCATATGGGGCTGGTGCCCTGCTCCTTTGAGCCACAGGCCCACCCTTGTTTTTTAACTTGAATTTGTATTGAGATAATTGTGAGTCATGTGTAATTACAAGAAATAATACAGAGAAATCCCTTGTATATTTTACCCAGATTCCCTCAATGGTAACATTTTACAAAAATTCAGTATAAAATCACAACCAGGATATTGACATTGGTAAAATCCAATTATCTTACTCAGACTTTCACAGTTTTACTTATACTGATGTGTTTATTAAGTTCTGTACAGTTTTAACACATGATGGTTCATTTATTCACCACTACAATCGAAATTTTAAGCAGGTTCTATACCATACCAATCAACATACCAATCAATCCCCTCCCCCCCCCCAGCTCTCTTATAACCCCAACCTCCGATACCTAGCAAAAACAAATCTGTTTTTTGTTTCTTTTTTCTTTTTTCTTTTTGCTTTTTTTTGGTCTTTTTTTGCTTCTCAAAACTTGGAATGTTCTTTGTTTCTAAACACATCATTTTAAAAAC